AGTAATTACAGTGCTTTTTGTTTTGTCAAATGTTGTCAAATGCTTTCAAATTTTGACTAATTTTATCTCGACTTTTCAGGTCTTACATATAACAAAGTTTGATCAGATTTTTTATAAGCAATTCTTCGATCGATTTGGTTGGCAAACAAACGAAGATGACTACGAAATAATGTATGTAATTTTGAATTCATCCGTTTTTTCTTTTGATGCGCATGCGTTGTGATATATGGGTGTTAGCTAAGTTGGATAAATCGGTGAAAAACCAGTGAAGATGGGTGATATTCAAATTGGAAAACGAATGTTAATTTGATGTGTCTGTCAATGAAAGCTGAGTATTGAAGACAGGCGGATCGTTTTTATAACGAGCGATCTGGCGAGTACGTTGACGATGATTACGATTCAAGTGATTCATTTATCGATGATCGCGATGAGGAGGATGTTTCAATTGGAACCTTCCAAGATAGTTCATCCCACGGCACTACGGTATTCTTTGATCAGTCACCTCACTAGAATATTCAGCAATTGATTCGTACCGTATTGAAAAGAGTGTTTTATCGATACTTCACTTCTCTTCAATTGCTCACTAAAATTCAGTTTTGATATTCAATGATTACTTTCGTTCATTTTCGTTTTGGTGTTTCTGGTTAAATTTTGCTCTGCATTTAGGAAACACAACAAACTGCAACCAGTAGTAAATCTTCTGAAGCGGCAAACAGTAGCGGAAGTATGTTGCTTTGTGATTTCATTCCAGTAGTAAATCCTTTGCGATTTTTCTGTATTCGATTCGATGTTTTAGTTCATTCGTGACATAAGTTGTGAAAAATTATGAACTAAGAAGGTAATACCAGTTGCTTATGTCCACCAACAATTTTAATATATGCTACTAAACATTGATTAGATTCCCCTAAACGTAATGTGCCATCCATCGCAGTTATCTCATTCCTCACTGAAAATTTTCGTTTTCAGAAAATTTGTTGAGAAATGGTCAGACAAGTCAACAATGGGTTAAGAACCGCGGTAGAGGTACAGTCGACGTACAACTCGAATTTGGTGCACTCTCGTTTGCGTTTACTCAGTATCGAGTCCAGAACCCGTACACACCCAACCGAAACGCCAATCTTGATTGTATGATTCCAGTTCATTCTTATATGTTGTTATATACTCCCTTTCGAAAATTGATATAGCCATATTCGTGCACATTTATGTAATGGGCTTCTTTTTCAGTTTTCGCCGAAATTTATCGCGTTCCGAAAGTAATACTAATGGCTAATTCGATCGCACTGAATGTTCCATTCGCTTGTGTTAGTCAGATTTATTGTTATTATTTTTCAAAATCTTGTTGCATAAGAATACTGATTAGTTTTTTGGTTCCTACTGTTGTTATATTAACAGGTATCGTCCTCATTGGAAGTGTTACTATTTTCAACTTGCCGATATTTTTTAAAAAACTTGTCGCTGTAATCGTCTATACAATTGAATCTTTTGTTTGATTCAGTTTTTGTTGCAAAGCAAAGAACCGATTGCTCATTTTTTGGGATTGTTTGCAGTTGAGAGAAGCTTTGGATAAAGCAGGCAGTCGAACTTTGAAAATGTTCAGCGTTGGAATTCCTCATGAATTATGCGCTAACTTTCATCCAAACAGAACACCATTTCCAGACGTAATTCGAATCCTAGAAAATATGGCGTACTTCGTTAATCCTGTTTGGGTAATGTATTCAAATTATTTGCTGTCCACTTCGTAAATTTCATTTTCATTTCAAATTCTTTGAGAATATGGAGTGATAGTTGATCTATTTCAATATTACAGAAGCATCAAGACGTACAGTTACATGTGATGGTTGATGTTTATTTACCAGATCGTATCGCACGTCTGTTGGATCGTGTTACGGTTGCGTTTACGGCTGCTGAGCATATCCGTATACGGGTCGAAACGGCTAGAATTACGGATAGGCCATTCTACAGATGGTTAGTATTTTTGTTATTTGCTAGCTTGTTGATTTGTTCGATATTTTCGCATTTTATAAATTTTGGTTGAACAGTTTCGCTTTATGTGATTCAAGTTATCAAAAAATTGAGTGATCATGTTGAGAAATTGTGCAATAGTTTTTTGACATTTGTTAAGGTTCACATTTCCGAATTGAGTCTTGCAAATAATACACAAATTAAGATTGTTCATGTTTTCTTAAATTATGGAAAAGAATTTACGATCTGACCTAGGAAGAAAGCAGTTTCTGATTCTTTTTTTTGGTGTTTTTAGCCCACGAACACGCTGGGTTTACGCAATCAGGTCACAACATTTGCGTGTTCTTGATCTTACAGTTGACGCTGTTGTATCCCGGGTTTGTTTTCTGATCAGATAGCTAATTTTGCCCTTCTTTTAATCCAGATCCTTCCACTGCATTCCATCATTTGTTCGGAAGTTTTGTTGTCAACAGTCTTGAGAACATATCCAATTTTGTGCTTCTTAAGTAAAACAATCGTTTTTCAACACTGATGGCGGTAATGAATTAAAATTGACGTCAGCTGTTATTATGACTGATATCGAAANTTGTAAGCGCTAATAATGAAATTATCATGTGTAACGCTTCTCTTCACTATCAGTGATCTGTTGTAATATGAGTAACGCAATTTTTTTAGCTGCCGCAAGAATTATGGCAAATGACGTGTCCAACGATGGAGGAATTCCATCTAACTCTGTCTGGGATTCGTTCGCCCCACAGCGGATCTATCAAGACCAATTTGTTCAGTTTACTTACATTCCTAACGAATGAATGCATTAATCCACGTATGCATACGATCGTCTTCCAACTCAACGCACCGTCAGTATTTATCGTTACTATTGTTGCTTCAGTTTATATTTCGTTCAGTTGTTTTGGTTTATTCAGATAATAAATTTTGCAATCATCGGATTTTATCGCATGTTTTGCATATTCTTCTCAGCTTTTATAATGATGACGATAGCAATAATCGTTACGATGCGCTGACAATAGCGTTCTGAGATGTGATTATATTGAACGCTTCAAAAAATAATTTCAAACAATTTTCAGAATGTTTTTTACTCTCTCGGAAAATTACCGTGAACTGATGTTGCGCAAAGGAGATCGTCGTCTACGCACTCTGGGTATTGTCTGTAAACGTAAGCATTATTTTATTAATTCCTTCAGATTTATCATCTGATCCCTGAAGACTGGAAGCAAACGAGTCCCTCTGTGAAAGCAAAAATAGGCATGTTGATGTGAAAGATGCATTCGTGAAATATTTGATAACGAAAATGCGTAACTAATCTTCTAGCGTGATTCAATAAAATTTTTCTGAAGGCTAAAGACATTGCTGATGATATTTAGTGATGATATGTTGTATAATAAGTTGTATTATCTAATGCGTTCAATTGTATTGTGAATGAATGACTGTGAAAAATTGCAGCGCCGTCACAGTGTCGTTCTGTACGAATAATGAATGAGATCGAGAAATTGTATGTGGCGTCAGCGAAACGACTTGAGCGTTTAATAATGGATGTTCGGTTGCTTGGTGAATTGGACTCGCAGCAGATAGCGTATCTGCAGGATGTTTTAGAGAAGTGTCAGTTGGAAGCACGACTTGCGCCTGACGATTGCAGATACATGGATGTTTGTTTAAATCTGATTGCTCGTTAATAATTTTCGAATAGATCAGGCACTAGCCATTCGTTAGTTACTTTTATGCTGCATGGTCACCACTCATCTCTAACGATATCAGTATTCAGTCATCACTTAAAGTCGTACTTTCTGACGGACTGACCTGAAAAATTTTGCATTGCTGTACGCAACACCCATGAAATTCTAATGCGTTCATGAGCGTTGTGCAATGTGCAGTATCTATTCTTCTAATGTATTTATCAGCACTTTTTCCTTAGGTCGATCAGTGTAGAGAATCTTCTTCTCTATTCGCACTTGATTCAGATTATTGTGACGACTCAGATGTGCACAGTGAATCACGTAAGTTATGAATTAATTGTTTCGTTCGAATATAACTCACTTTATAAGTGATGATTTATATTATAATGACTGTTGATTTATTGTGCTTATCATCAGGATTGTAGATGATTGAAGAAAAAATAACATTTAGGAGAGGACTGAACGTTTTATTCCTCAGCTTTCATCTTTTCATGATAATCTTGCACTTCAGCATGCTTAGATGAAGGTGGTGATGAAGTTCTGCTGTGTTCGGACTATTCAGATCGTGTAATTTTGCCATTGGATGGAGTTAGTCAATCGTCAACGCAAGAAATTTTATTAACTCGAAAGGCGAAGAAAAACTCTTTTTTGCAATCCTGTAATTGCTTATTTTTTATTGTTCTCAGACCATTTCGATATTAATCTCTTCGTTCTTTAAATCTTTAAATTAATTAGATTAGTGTTTTGAATATTTGAACGGACATTTTGGATGCATGTGCAATTCTTCGAAACATTTCTTGGGTTTATCCAACGATTCGAGCTCATACATCAGTCCTTATTTTAATTTGTTTTGTTTTTCGTCTTTGACTATTGTCGAGGCGTTCGCTCACAATACTTATTTACACTTATTCATTATAATCCCAATAGGTGTAATTATTCAGTGCAAATAGAATGGCTTATTTATTTTTGTTTGAAGTAATGAACTCCAATTCTGATGAGGATGAAAATGACGCGGACAAACCTGGACCGTCTGGACTGAATCAGCGAGCACCACCAAAAAATAACGAATCACAGAAATGTACGTATCGCTACGATCAAGTTATCAGTGGTGCTACTATCATGACCATTGTGCTTGTCCACTGTGTTGGGAATAGTAGCTAATTCATCGGTCTATTACATATGTTTTCCGATCTGATCAGTCAATACAATACTCATTGATAAACATTCGGAATATTGAATTATGAAGTCGTCCTGCGAAATCCGTCAGTGTAGTTGAAGCGCAGATGGTTGCTCTTAATATACCTTAACGTATACCTACTGCTGACAGGTCTCGGCTTAGGTTTTGAAACTATAAGTCAGCATTCATCCTCAGTAAATATCATATGCAGTCATCATTGTACATTACAGCTGTGACAAGACAAACTGGTTGTGTGAATGAAAGCGGCGATATATATGAGAATGATCTTTATTTGACGCCGAAAAGTTCGTTTTTGAAACGCTTCTTCAGTTTACTCGTATGTACCCAATATTCATATTCGAAAAATATTACGCATGCGGATCATACGGCAGTTTTTTTGTGATGGTGCACGGTCAAGCATTCGCATTCTGGAAACATGATATTATCTCTTTATAAACTAATAATTCAATTAGTGTCTCATGTCATGGTGATGATTGTTTCAGAAAAGAGACGACGCCGAAGGAATATTGATACTTCAGATAGCGATGATGACAGTTGGAATGAGGGTTCAGTCAGAAAACGGATCTCAACCAAATCAAGAAGTTAGAATCGAATCAATTTGAGATACTACGGATTTGCGTTGTTCATCTTAGCTATTATCATTTATTTGGTGCCACTCAATGGTAATGAACTGCAATACCGAGCACGATTAACAATTAAATGTTGTTACGTTTTCATTCTTACGAATCGAAAACGCATCCAGAGCTTATAAATTCAGATTTACTGTGGTCATTTTGTATTGCAATGAACGTTCACCAACAATCCCCTTTCTTTTTAAGGCAAAAATCTGATTCCACTATCGAAAAGTGTCACGAAACGTCGCATAAATCTTCGATCGGATGACAGTAATGGTGAGTTGACTCTGTTCGTCATTGACACAACATCCGTTTTGTATTTCAATGAAGTCGTTGATTACCGAATGTGACTTTATGCACGTGTATACTGAACAGATTTCAATATTGGAGAATTTATAAATGGTATTGTTTGACTTGATTTTTTCGCTAATTAAGGATTATTACGTTGCAAACGAATCTTATCGTATGAATCAGAAACCGCCAAAAAACCACAGCAACAAAACAGCAAAAATCGGAGGGATCGTAACGAAGATGTAGGCGAAGAGGAGGAAGAGAGCGACAGTCATTCTTCGCAGTCAGACGAATGGACACCGCAGAGTCGTCGAAGGTCGCCGAAAAAATCATCACGTCATCGAAAAAAATAGTAGTCCATTTTCCAATTTTTACGACATTTTTTTTCTCAAACTGAAATTGTATCCGAATTCAAGAGCTTTTCGAATCATGTCAGCGCCAGTTGTGTGTCCAAACCTTACTTGGATAAAATTCCAAACACTGATAGTATTTTTTCAAAAAAAAAAGGGTGAACAGAATGCAGTAAAGTACTTCTCTTTCATGCGCAAACTTCTTTTGTAAAGTAGCTCTTTTTTAAATATATTGAAATGATTAGTTGACTAATTCATCTCATTTAATTTATGAATCACTCATTAGTAATTCTTGATTATCAACGTGATAGAATCGCAATAAAATCATTTAATTATCTTGCGTTCATTCCTAATACTGAAGTATTGTTGTTATAGTATTGAATTTCCATTTTGTACATACCTTATTTGTTTTATCTGATCGAACTTCTTTCATCATTGAATCTACTTCGTATAGCACCTCGTTTGCAAGAAATATTTTGGTTGCTTGATCACCTAATTGTGTTCTCAAATTGTTCAGGTTTGATATTATAGCTGTTGGTTCTCTTTTGTTGCGAAGTTTTCGTTCTGATTTCATGCTTGAAGCAATTTTTTGTATCTTATTTTGAAATTTGATTGGAATATTCGAATTTTGTTTTCGTCTGTTCGAATGATTCTAACACTCGCTTTTCGTAATTGTTTATTTTTCTCCCACTTTTACTTGTTATCTTTCTCATTTTTTCCGTATTTTGGTTCTGGTTACCAGTCATCTGAACCCGTGAATTTGTGAATGTCATCATTGGAATGTCAAACTATCGTCTAGTCATAATGTGCTAATAACTGTGACTTATTTTCACAATTTTTTCATCGCATTTTTCTCATGTTGACAGATGATATTGATCATGAGGGAAATGCTGATCCGATCGGAATAGTTTGTCAAAATACTTGGATTCAAAAAATTTGGGGGCGGTTCAAACTAACTTCCCCAAGTGAATGGGAATTGGATTTATGACATTATTTTTGTTAGTATGATTATACTATATTACTGATATCGTTATGATATCCTTTTGATTTATGATGATATTATTTTTAATTAACGTTGTGAATATTTATGTGATTTGATACATCATCACTGTCGTTCAGAGTTTTCAAGTTCACTGCCAATATGTGCATAGTTGAATTGCATCTCGCTCGATTACAATGACCTGTCTGTATGATCATTCGATGTTGAGCACGAACTCGATTTGTTGCGAAATGACACTTATGATGCATAGCTAATCCTTTTCTTACAGTTATATACGAATCAGTTATGCGGTCGTGAACTGCTTTGAGAATATGCGGAATACTGGAGCAGTATGTTCCAATGCACGTTGAGACAAGATGATAACATGAACATAAATTGTTACGTTCTCATGAGCAAAGCTCAGGTTTTGCTCGAATCGTACTATAACCAAAATTTCGTTCCGATTTTGATCTGAAGGTTGCGCGGGTTCGTGTCTTGACTTCTCTCCATTCCAAGCTGTTCTCACCATGGATGTCTACTACCTACTGAATATTGATGCAAATTGAAATGGTTGAACTTACGATTAGAGTCATCAACAAACGTTTACTAATTTTTACTTCAATTTCGTGAAATTGTCAAAATTTTACGCTGAATGTAACCATTCAATATGATGAATATACGGATATTTTGACGTTGTGTAAAGCATTTCAGGTACAGTTTTCATTGTCGATCAACGTGTTTATTCGATTATGTAATTGCATCTTTTTTAAATTCGTTCTTTCATGTATCTTTATTCTCTAGACTCATTTTTGTATCAAATAAACACATAACAATACGACGCATAATATCATTATTTTCGATGAATGCAATCTCGCGATTCCCTTTCAAAAATAATTTGCATATTTATTGTTCCAATATTAAAGAATTTCTTCACCTTCTCACCGCTCTGTACATACGAATCTGGTATTTCGAACGACACTTCTCGTTGACAAGGCTGAAAATTGTATCCATAACATTGCAATAGCTTAAATGATTACAATCCTCGAATGTTTAGCCATCACACTTCATTTTAACGATCACTCAATTATAATTTGGCATCATCACTCAGGTTATTCTAATGGCCACAGTAAAGCAGTTTTTGAGAGTACAAAAATCCAATTCCACCATATATACTTTCATCTTTAATTCATGAATCGTTGTGATGAGAAACTTCAATAAATGTACAAATCAAAATGGATGGCAATTCGCATGGACAATTCTGGTCACTTTTTTTCAGATTTGACACTGATTTTTTTNTTTTTTTCAAAATATCATTTGGGAAATGCGTCCGTTTGAAGAACCAGTTTCATGTATGCTCACTGTTAGTGGTTTTTGTAATGTACTGTTGAAGTGTCTTTGGTGAATGGATCTCCGATGTGATTTACAGTGACGGAATGGATTGATTCGTAATCGAATTCACAATCGTTGAGAATTGTTTGATGAGAAAAGAGCCGTCAAATGGCCGAATACCGATTATATGTGCTTTTTGCAGCAAGTTGCGTTTCATTTACTTGCATATAAGCTGTTGCAACTTATTATGATGTGAATCTCAGGGTGAGACTCGATCGCAAATTCAATAATGTGAAGAAAGTTTCAAATTATCGAACCATAATGCCGTCATCGCAATCGTGATATATTTTAAGAACTGGATCTATCGTTGATAATTCACTGGTAGTCCCGCTCAACTCGAAATATCCCTCTGAATTCGTTGTTCCGTCTTGCAATAGGTCATCCAAATCCGGACCTTGAATGAGTGCACTTAAGTTTCGTCTCAAGGAAGATATCGTTGAGACCTTTGTTTGAATCTCTTATTAAGGCAACAAAAGCTCATCAAGTACACTACATGAGAGGTTGACAGCCATCATATATTTGTGGTAATAAATGTTGCAGAGTCCATTGAAACAGCTGCACGGAATGGAGGTAAGGCAGTTCTAAACGGGTTAGCAATCATGAAAACAAGTTTTTTAGTTTATGCAAGTCGCTCATGCAAAGTTGTTTGCAAAGACAAATCGGAATTGAAAAACATTCCGTCAGTCACGACCATTCATTATTGTTGATGAAAGGGTGCAAAATCATCAATTACTGATCAGAGTCAATATTCGGTTTGGGTTGAATAGAAATGTTCATTGACATTTCGTCTTTAAACCGAAGAGAGGTCCAGATTTGCTTATGTGCTGGGATTGTAATAATGATGTTATGAAGACTTTTGATAAAGAGATTCCAATCAAAGATTATTGAACATTTTTCTAGAACTTTCGTTAGTGAGAATTCCAATGAGGGCAATAATTTTGAAAATATAACGCAATCAATCGCTGCAGTTGAATTATTCATTATTATAAATGAATTATTAATTGATGATTATGCAAGATATTTTTTTCAATATCAAATGAAACATTATCACCTACCGCTATCATCATCCCATAGTTTAACTCTAGCTCCAACCAGAGGTTTATCACCGCATAGAAGAGTTCCTTTAACGCCAGCACTTTGTGTACGAAACGCTGTTGTTGCAATGGTTGCGATCGTGCTTAATTCAACTAGAATCAGTAAGGAATGCACCATCTGAAATTGTGTTTTCGATTGGTTTTGAAATTATTTGCTGACGATGAATACATGGTGCTGCACTCTACCGAACATTCTCAATTCGTGAATATCTTTAGACATGACTATCTCAAGTTGGATTGAGGGACTTCCATAAAAGAGGTGCTTTTTTGAGAGCAAGCCGAAAAATGCACTTTAAATGAATTCACTGAGCGATTGGCAGACATCGACCCAACAGAATGTGTTTACCGTCAGTTGGTTGAACGTGAGAAGTTGAGGGATTAATTTCAGTTCAGCATTGGGCATGACTCTTTGTCGAATTCTGTTTATCTAATTTCGGTAATGATCTTCTTTATCTTGGAGTCATCAGTAGTCATATTAACAAACAAGGGAGTTTTTTTCTAAGTGGTCAGCAAATGGAGAAAATTGTAAACATATTCTGAGAAATCTTGTACTGGCAGTCATTTTGAATGATCATTATGATTCAATGAAAAATATTATCCGTTCTTTAAGAAACTTTCATTGCATTTGGGGTGGAATGGTAATTAAATTGTTTTATGTTTTGGAATCAGTTCGTTGCTGACTTTATGCAGAATTTCGCACGGTTGAGTACATGAGACGAATTCATTGTACTGTAACGAAAAGATGGAGATGTAATCGCAGTAGAGCAATAATGATAATATTAATTACAACATCAACAATAATGCTGGTCAGTAGTAATAGTGAAAAAATAAAGACTGAAATAAAACAGGCGGAACGGGATTATTGAAGAAAGTTGTAAAGAATCGACATATGGAACCGTTAATAAGATCACACTGATATTGTTAATCATACAACAATAATTGTTTGCGACATTATTGAAGCATTATATTTGTGGAACGAGTTTTTGAAATGAAGGCGGTACCTCACCTCATTTGACGAATGATACCAATCCATCATTACTGAAGACAATCTATTGATTGCGTTATTATTAGATTTTCATTTTGGCAGATTCTTTATTCTCTGTTCACATACTCAGTTCATATGAGGAATATTCATGCTCTTTCAGGTCCCTAACGCAGATTACTGCCCCAACAAAAAATACTTTTGAAGCGGCAATCCGTTTGGTTTTAGGCATGTGATCTTCAGTGTGTAATTGATGATCATGAATACGTCTGAACTTTGCCAATTTTGAATCGCATCAATTTGCTCTCCGAATATATTCTTTAAATCTTGAAGATTCCTTTGATTCGTTTGGATTCATTGAAGTGATACAGTGCTTCCGTGTAATGTTAATTTGCTTAATGGAACAAATAAAGAAATTTCGCGTACGTAATAAAAATTGTTAAAATCTGTGCAATAATTAATTTGATGAACGTTCGAATATTTCATTAAAATGTCACCCGAAATTACCCTACCGCAGCTTTCTGTTTCATCATTCCAGATAAGCGATATAATCAATAATAAATAAAATATGAATAACATGAAATGCTTTGGACCAAAAACGGGAATCAATTACAGAAAACATTCAGTCCAATAGAAAAGCATTCGTAATCAGAGTAAGAGATTGTGAAATCAAAAATGGAATTGAGTATCTATCACTCAATGAGTGCGATATTTGATGAGTGTAATTGGTGATGCCACGGAAATGAATGGGTGTTCATCATAAAGCCATACGATTAATTCTTTGTGAGTGTAACGGTGATGTACCCAGACAGATGTTTAATATGTTTGGTTGGAGAATGTAGCATTTTGAATGGACTCAAATGAGGATGGTTCGTCAACAATCACATTTCATGTATTTTTATAATTGTGCAATTATTACCGATGCGTTCAATTATCACTACCTTTTCTCATTGTAATCCAATAATAACGAGTAACACTTTATCGTTGATGCTTTTTCTGATTGAAAACGAATTTTTAATACTTTGCACTTTTCTCGTTGAAAATGTTCGAAATGAATGTTTAATGCAAAATTGCTCCATAATGATGCAGTTCCATTTTAAGCCACTTCGTTTCTTGGTCCAGTTCGTTAAATTCGTATTAACTGATTAAAAATGCGATTTGACGTTCGATTGAAAAACTGCTGTGCTCGGAACTGAATGTTCCATCAATTAGTCCAAACAACAAAGTTGTCTGATTTTGATACAATTCAGTTATCATCAACTTTTATTGACTATTCACTATTTGACTGTTTGACTATTCACTATTTGACTATTTGACTATTCACTATTCACTATTCAGTCTGTTTTCGGTGAAATATTGCGGAAATCATCATTATTGATGTCTTTTCTTTTCATTACCTTTAGCATTGACATAATAACCGTTTCTATGAAAAAGATTTTCGCTAATCACTGCCATTATTAGTAAGTTAAAGGGCCTGAGATGGGAGGCTGATTCAATTGTTAAGTCTCATGGGATAGATGGGCACTGGTAGGTGGGAATTTCAACGCACTGATTTCATAGTTTAATATGTTTTTGTTCAGGAACAGTATGTATTCGTCAAATGGCGCCGAGACAGTGAGGATGTTAGGGTTGATTGTTTGTTACTCCGACACTGAGCCGTTGGTTTGCCGATCGCTCTAAGCGATCGGCAAAATATTCATCAGCATGACAATTATTCAATGCATTAGTAACGGGCTGTGCTTAATCATGCAAATTATTTATGGCAACGGAAATTCGTTATTGCTTGATTCTGAAATGTTTAATGTGCTGATCGCAATTGATCTATTCGGTTACATTGATTGCAATCGTTGTTTATGGTTGATCACGAAACTCTGCTGACTTAGTGCTATCGGTTGTTTCCAATAACCGGACTAAGCGATCATTTGACGCATGCTCAATCGATCAATCGGGGTGCACTTAGGGCTGATTTTGAGTCTCACTCTCTAGAAATCATTGGGCAGTTTGGGAGAGTAACCGAATACCTCTGTGCTCGTCAAACCAATCGAAATCAGAATTTCATGAAGACAGATGATTCCCAACGCTACTGTCGTTAGCTGCTTGGAAAGAAAAGTATCAAGGAAGGAATAATGGGATATTTGTGATATTAATGATAACAGAAAGGTATAAACTCGCAATGAGTTGTAATTGCTGACCGAATAAATAAATCAGTATGTTGACCACGTTCAGCAACAATTCATGGCCTCATGACAACAATAACATGTCGTATTGAATATAAAGTACTAGTGATTGGATCCGACCGACAGTCGGTCGGAAAAATCCGACAATTTCGGTCGGAATTCTGACTGTCGGAACAACGAAATACCAGTTCGGTCGGATCCCGACCGATCAAAATTTCGCTCGGTCCCCATCACTATATAGTACTAATAAGTCCTCTACAAAGTGCTTATAAAACTATTATTTCGACTGTCCACTGTCGATAAACAAAAACCATCCATGTTTGTCGCTGTCTGATCTCAAGATATTTACAGCAAGCCGTTGTTTGTTCTAACTTTAGTATTATAAAAACATGTTTGTCCAATTTTAGTTTTCATATTACAATTGACTTTTGTGATAAATTTCTGATTTCTGATTTTTGATAAATTCATGACGTTTCTTAGGAAATATTCCATTAACCTCTTAGGAATGTTACTCAGCGAATAGTATATAACAATTTTCTTGACAAGTTGATTAAAAATAAACTTGTACAATGTGTTTGTTTGTGTGTATCAACAAAAATAACGATATAGTTCATTGATCAGGACATAAGAGTGAATATATTTTCTCGTTATTAAGTTGTTCAGTGAACGAAATTATAGACATTTATGATCTTCATCATGGAATTTGAACTTCAGTTGTAATACACCACCATTGAATACTTGATCGGGTGTGGTGCTTCTGGAGACATATTCATCAGGAATGCCCAGTGATATCTCACGATTGCACGGCTGAAAACAAGCTCTTCATGCATTCTTGTCCTATAATCACCCGAATAAAATTTTACATGAGTGAATGCAAAAACGAGTAAAGGCTATAATAAGTGATTATAAACGGATGTGAACATGAAAAATGAATAAAGAACGCTCAACGGAAGAAACGCAATCAAAGCAAACATACGTTGAGCATTGCAGTGTTGCAGCTAGTGATAATCTTGAAACGAGGATCCATAGTCGTTATTTGTTGAAGAATGCCTGAACGAAACTTGTGATATTTATCAAATGAATATCAATAATACTGAGGGATGAAGGTGTTTATCTGGTGTGAATCATTGTCAGTCTTTCGCTTGAATTGTTTACTGATTCATAAAACTATTCTGAAACGGAACAGATCCATCCTTCACCTAAAGTATAATACAATTGAAAATTCGAATAATAGTCCAACCAATCACATGACTGTTGCAATTTTTATGGCAAATTAGTCTGCGATTTTTTAAGTTCTTTTACAATTTTTTCGATCAATTGAAAGCACAACGCATCATTTGAATGCTCGTTTAATCAAATGATATTGGAGGGGATGAAGTAAACAGAATCTTGTCAGAATGAAATCAGCTCTCACTTAGATCACCTGAGAGTTCGTAGAATCCTTGCTCATCAGTTGTTCCTGATGCGAGTTCGTTATCAAATGCTGAAAGTATGATTTGGGAAATGAAATTATTCCGAAAGTTTGTGTTCGCTCAATGTTCTGAAATGAACGATACTAGTCATAGTTTTCACTAACTAGCCATTGTCTTCAGCAACCTAGTTTTTGGTTAATAGCCCAATCTACTTTTTTGTTTCATTAATCAAAGTATGGCAGTTCAGAGATGAAAAAGATTGCAGCAAATGATCAATAGATCATAATTCACAATGAAGAGTTCAGCCAATCACGAATAAGCCTTGAAATGAACTTACTGAAGGTATTGTGATTGATCAACTTGACAGTATCACCTGTGCTTGGCTTATCACCGCACACAAGTTGTCCTTTTATCGCAATCGACTGATCTAACAGTGCTGATGAAAGGTCAACCGCTGTCAAAAGTATCGCGAGTACTGGCAGCATTCTAAAACCTGACATCATATTCTCGATTTGACCAAACTGAAATCAACTCATTTCGATTGAATGATCCCATTCCGATCGATCATTCGCTAGAAGACCTTTTGTTGAAAATAAACTTCATCAAAATAGCCTAGATTTGACGTATTCATCTAAACAGTGTTAATAACTTCTAACAGAAGGAAGTCACTGCTGAAAATCAATTCAAGAAAATTCAACGGATCTTTCAGGACGCAGCATCGTCTCAATTTATCCTGATCAGTTGCAGAATAATTGAAACTGTGAAATTTTAACTAATCGCAAAAGGCACAACACCTCAGAGGGACAACCCATCTGGTATAAGAACGCAGGCCAATTCACGTTCAAAATTTCGAAAAATAAATTAATCGTACACCAACTGATGTGGATAACACTTTATCTAAACGTTGAATCAAAAGGTATTGAAAACAAAAAGCATCAGTAATTGATTGTCGACATCTGTCCAATCAGATTACCTGTTCATGGGGTTAGTGCTTCGTAGCTAACTGCCTCTCATAGATTCGTTCATTCTTTTATATCCATATGAAATGTTTGATTTTGAGTGTTCACTTTGTGAATGTTGACACTGAAACTTCTCACTTGACGTTCTTTACCAATGAATATAATTGTAACGCCAACAAAACCATCCTTTTTTCACTTGAAACAAACTGCACATTCGTTTCACTGAGAATGGCTTTGTTGACGTATGAAAGCTTTTTTCATGTTCAGAATGAAGAGTGAATTGAACACCGCTCTATTGAACTGACATTGAGTGTCCTCTTCATTTATTTTGTTTTCAAGTTCCACATTTCTATGTGCATATTAATCTTTTCAGTGATTCATCAAAAGCACTCTCAGCTGTCACCTGAGCTATAATGCTTTAGCGATTAAAAAAATGGCAGTCGTTTTCCTAGCTGAAACTGAGTCATAACGCACCGAAAAATGTTGATCATCAAATAAATGTTCAAAATACAACCTATATGCATATCTCGAGAATTTTGCGAGCTTTATTGCGGTAAAATGGAGTGTCGGAACTATCTGAATTTTAGCTATATTAATTGCGATGAACTTAGTGTTCTTTTGAGAGCCACCTCATCTTAAATTCTTTGATGAATGCTTCTAAAAATGTACCAAGCAATGCAGTTGCGTAAGATTGATTCCATAGCACATCAAATTCTGTCCTCAGTAGCACGCAAATGTTCCATTCATGGTCTCGTATTCAATCATAAAAACATCGAACTGGGCGTTTTTAATTAGATTCGTACTGCAATGTGAGCTTACCTTCTTAACTCTCTTCAACTATTCGCTGATTTTGGTGTTCAGCAGGATCTTTTCAGTGCATTCATCGTCGGTTGCAATTATTATAAGAATTCTGGCAGTCATCCGTGAGTGAAATTCAAAAGCTGGTTTTAGTGGGCATTGGTGTGCAGTTAATTCATATAATTGCGCTTCCATAATGCAATATTATTGGAAGAGTTATCATTTAAAAGTAATTTGAATGGTGTAATCGTTGCCTTTTTTATATTCCAAATCTTTATGGATCCACGCTGGATTTGCAATATAAAAAAAGTTGGATCCCTTCATTGTTGGATCCCTCTCACAACTAAAAATATTCTATTTTTAACTATTCACTATGGAATGATTTCACAAAATCATTACTTATCTTGTAATCATTTTCGATATTCTCACTTTGAATGAAAAAATGTCGCAGTTCACAATTCTGTTTTTTGTATCCCATTTAACAATGCAAATATTTAAATGACTCCATTTTGCAGTCGTATTTGCAGCCAATTTTCTGTGATGCTGATTGTGAGCTTTGAACATTTATTGACAACATTGTTCAGTGAGAGATGTGTAACATGAAATTTAAAATTGTATTCCAACAATCTATAAAAATCAACGATAACTACTATCGTAGTTGTCCCTACTATCCAAAGCACTTTTTACAGACATTGGTGATCACATTTCTGAATAGTACTGTTACTCATTCAGTAATCTTTCAGTGGTCCATTCCTTCGGATTCGTTCTAGAATGAAAAGAGAAAATTATCCATCAGATTTCCCATACAATTGGAGAAAAGTTTTTAGAACACAAAAAGAGATTAGCAATAAGTGTTGATGTGCTCTTTTGAGGGTGGTTAGATAAGTTCGATTTGTGGTGACAAATGCGATCGATGGGTGACGATACGAATACGGCTGCAGAATGGCGACATTTAAAAATTTGTATTGTTAAATGAGATGCAAAAAAAGAGTTGTTTCAATTATGAAATACTAGAGATGGGCATGCTATCGAAGTAAGATAGCTCTGCTATCGTCAATCCGCTGAACTGAAAACTGTCAGCTTCGCTAAAAAATCCGCTATCGCTATCATCGCCGAAAAATAGCGAAGCGCTATCGCTGATCCGCTGATTAAGCAAAATCAGTCCGCTATTGCTATTATGAAATTTTCTCTCAAAATTTGCAATTGCACCACTTATTTGTATGGGAATTACCTCGCTGCAACATTAAACAGTTTTATTGAATCATTCAATAGCAGATAGGCAACAATAAGACAAGCTTCAACAATGAGAAAATAACCAAACGACGAAGTAAAATTCAAAGGTGAAAAGCAGTCAATTGGCAACAGCTCACATCGCACTTTCTCACTCCTTTTTAAGACCGAATTTCTGGATCATTTGGATCTTATCGTATCACCTAACTCAGTTCCTGAGATGAAAATAAGCGATCATCATGAGACTCTCTTCTATGCGCTACAACCAAAAAGAGACATGTTACTGAATGAATCTGAAAGCTCACTTTATCTACGGAATTAACCACTCTCGGGCGACAACACATATACTTCTATACGATACTTCCAAAAAAGGGACATGTTACATGTGAAAGCTGAGTACCAATGTCCGTCAAAACATCGACGGTAACAACACACTTCCAGATAGCCAATTTCGGCCGACAACGTATATAAAATCAGACTACTCAGATTATCTTCATTTCAACGATATAGTGAAGCTGCTCACCTAATACGCATAGCTTCAAAAAATCCGATGCTGCATAAAAACCATCATGTTGCAGAGATACGATCAGATTAACGCTAGCTTGAAATCGACAATCCCGACTACCCTAATTTCTTGAAGACACTGAACAATAAAGAGCACACCTGAGAGTAGCATTACCATATTCGAGCTACCGGTACTCTCAAGATTACACTGTAACATATTAATCACTCTAGATCATTCGATTGCTCAGAACCTCAAGATTCAGAAGAAACATACATTTTGTTAAGCAATTCTGCTTTCTTGGGGGGATAGGTCCATTTTCATAAAGGTCAATCAGCAACGAGCGCAATGGCGATTATTCATATACATTATATCACTACAGATCAATGCCAATACGTTACTATGCCTCTATAAAAGTTAACATCATCAAGGTAATCGTACCCTCATGTTTGCCCTGTAACATATGAATATTTTTGCACCATTCCATTGCTCAGAATCTCCGCTTTCAGAATATCACATGTTTTGCCGAGCAATTATGATTAGGTGAGGAGATATATCTATTTTTCTGATGCTATAGGGGTCACATTCAAGCCTACCGCACTCTCAGCTTCGACCAGTAACATATCAATTTCTTCGCACCAATCGATTGAGCAGAATCTCTGGATTCAGAGAAACGTATATTTTGTCGGGCAATTCTGCTTAATTGAGGAGATATAGCTATTTAATTGAAGCTATCTCAACTAGCGCAGCGGTGTTCATTGAAATGCATTTGATCACTATAGATCACTGGATATTATACATTACTATAGAAATATGGGTTTGATATATTCAAGCCAACCGTCTTCTCAGGTTTGCCAAGCAACATATTGATGTTTATACATCGTTCGATCGAGCAGAACCTCTGATTTCTGAAAGTGAAAATTTTACCGGGAAATTCTGCCTCTACGAGGAAATATAGCTATTTTTCTGATGCTACAGGGGTTGCCATCTTCGAGCCTACCGTCTCCTCAAGTTTGCCCAGTAAGACATGAATAATTGTACACCAGTCGATCCAGCGGAATCTCTAGATTCAGAAAAACATATATATTGCCGACTGATTTTGCTTCCTTGAGAAGATATGGCTATTTTTCTAAAGCCATCTCAATTAGCGCAGAGGCACTGATTCAATCCACATTGTATCACTATAGATCAATGTTATACATTAATACAACAATAGAGGCGTTAAAATGTTCAAGTTACCAGTAACCTCAGGTTTGCCCGGTAACATATCAATTTCTTTGCACCATTCGATTGA